CATTTTTCATGAGCTATAAATTCCTAAGTCCTCCCCCACCTATTCACCCCACAAATATGAATCAAGGGATCAATGGATCAGTGGGGTAATTGTATAGAATGTCTTTAATGGAGAACCAACCCCTATTTCTTGCATACATTGCTCAATGCTCCTACCAAGTGTTAAATTAAAATTTACGGTAGTGCTAATTGAAGTCACATTTGTGTGTGTGCTGCGTGCTGTTAGGCAGGAGGAGACTTCTTTTGCTGGAGATTAAAACTTCAGTAATGTATTTTTGGGCTTATACCAGTTTAATGCAAAAAGCAAAACATAATTATAGGAGGCTGTTAATGGATTAAATGGCCAGAGTTGCTGTCTAGCTGTGTTCCAGTTTTAACTCTGTTGGCTTTGTGCTGTCTGTTGTCATCTCCTAATTATCTGTTCCTTTTTCAGTTGGCAGCTTTAACAGGTTGAGGGTATTATTCAAACCCAAATTAATTTGTGTTTTTCAGGAATTGCTTAAAGAGTAGGAGTTTTATTTGGAGCTTGATATGGCAATAAAATCTTTATCAGATGCAAAAGAGAAATATTTTTTGGCTGACTTTCACTGCCATGAAACTATTCACATTGATCAGCAAGAGCAGGAAATCTCTGGTGTTGCAAAACAAAACAAGAATTTCTGGAAGTGCTTGGCAGCCGATTAGTTTCTGCATGGCCTATCATCACTAGCTACCATCTCCTGTAGTTTCTGAGGGTAGAAAGCTATGGCACTTCCCCCAAAAATTGAATAGGGCATCTGCTCAGGTCTTAACTGATACTTGAACCATTGATAGTGATAAACTGAAGAATATAAGGAAAGAAATCTGGCATTAAAACCTTAAAATCTCGGGATCTTCATTCATGCAGCCAGTGAATTAAATAAGAACACTGTGTAGCATTTATATAGTGAGAAATTCTGCAAACCTCTAAGTCCCTTTAGAGTACTGACACATTAAGTGGATTGCAGCCATTCCCCCAGATCTGTGCACTGTGTTGTCACCATCCACAAAAATAGACAATGAAAAATAATTAGTCATAGAACTCTATTGCAAGCATTCTAAGGAGAAAATAATCAGTGAATGCATTTCCTAATAGATACTGAGGAAACAAAGTCTTCCCAGAGTCTAATGTTTCAGATGCATTAGCTACCAGCATGCTCCATGCTTACAGGGAAGCAGGATGTACTGAAGAGTTTATTGCAACAATCAAGTACTGCCTTTTAAAGATTAAAACATCCCCTGTATTCTCTCTTACAAAACATCTTTTGGTGAAAACAGGGAAAGGGATGGAGATGAAGACAAAACAAACACAGAAGGAGTTAATTTGAAACTAATCAAACCCCATTTTCTTCCCCTGCATCAGAAATCTATTTTATTTCAGTGCCGAATTAATTTTCAAAGACATGCCGATCCTTTTGAGGGGAATTCCACATCTTACAGCTGTGCGTTCTGCCCTGCAGTGTACGCCTTGCTCGCCCACCTGCTTACTGCAAAACACCCTGAACTTCCCAGCCCTGAGGCTGTGCCAGTAGAGCTGTGCTTTAGTCTGGTTGCTGATCTCCAGCAAAGACAATGCCTAGCCTGTTATGTTTTAAAGTAAAAGTGGTGAAGTTCAAACCCGTGTAAGAATGAGCTAGCAGAACAATTGTTACCTTGCAGAGTGTTATATTGTATTATGCATGGCCATCTGTTAATAATGCATGGTTTTGTACAGCAGTTAAAAAGCAGTTTCATTAAACAGTTTCATTTTAAGAATCATTTGTTAGGAATGCAGCTTCTGAAAAAAGCTAAATTCTCGTTCCATATTCAAAGTCTAACCCACATGCTGAGAAGAAAGGAACAGTCATATTTTAAACACATATTACAATTCATGCTTTGAAACATCATATATGTCTAGCCTTAAGTACCTCCCATTTGATAGTTAATTTTTGCCTGCTTTTGTTTTCTTCACTCATGTTGACTCAACAGTACATATTAAAATTTTAATTTCATTTCTTGTTGTGCATTTAGGTGCCAACAATAAGTTGAACTCTACCTGTTTAAAAGCTCATTTACTGGGGCAAAATTATGTCCCTTTGTTCTCACCAGGGCAAACACGGTTTTATTATCATGTAAGATTAAAAGACCTGACCTTTAGCATTGAAAAATACTGTGGTAACTCCTACAGCTCCTGACTTGAATACTCAGAAGTATGGTCCCTGCATAGCTGGCAGAGCACTAAAACATATACTGCATCTGGCAGAGATGTGTATTTTCAGCTTTCATCTGAAGCGTGCATTAGCTACTGAATTGACTATATTGTTGATAGAACAATGCGTCAAGTCCAGACCTGATGAATCCCAACTGATGGGCAGGTATATCAATGGGAAAGCATACATTCACCATTTTAACAAAAACACCGAGCTAAAGTCAGAGGCACACTATCCCCTGCCCCTTGGTGGTGGAATTAAGCCATCCCTTCCTTTGTGACGAGGACTAATGCACAGCCAGCTCCGAGAGCACAAACATTGTCACTGAGGAGCAAAACACACTCAGCAACCTGCCAAAATGGGGGGAGCAAGAATGACCATATAATGCAATCACCCACATACACAGACAAAAGATGACAAGTGGAGGGAAATACCATTTTTACCTCAGCCTGAGAAAGGCTGAGCAGCCTTTTTTCCTTTTTTTTTTTTTTAACAGACATCACAGTCATTCCCAGATTCAGGCAGTTTCTATACTGAGAGCAAACAGCATGGTCAACCTGCTTGTTATGTTGTGATATTTGAAGTCTTCTTTCAACTCCTCCTCAGAGTCTCCCAGTTACAAGACATTTGCTTGTTCACTCTAGAACAACTGCAACTACCTTCTAACCCTTGTGGTCACAGAATTGACCTCGAGAACAGCTCCCAGGGTGACAGCAAGACTCCCATTGTGGATGCTCACCCCACAGCCCTCTGGACCTGAGAGCATCCCAATGCATATCCACTTTACAATGCTGGAAAATGATACAGTCCAAGAAAATGGAAGACAAAAGCAGACTGTTAATAGCAACAGTTCACCATGCAAAAAAGTACTGATAACTGCCAGCTGCACCAGCAGGGGATGCCCACATCTAGTATCAGTCGTAACACCAGTGAATTTCTGGTAATCCATGCTAGGGATCACAGAATCTAAAGTCAGCCCAGCCTTTTTCTCCTGCAAACATGTGAAGTACAGTTATTTTTAATCTGTGACAATTGGTATTACATAGAAGAACTTTAAAAGGCATTCTTTAACAAAATCAAGTTTTTTACCTCTTCCTCCCCCATTTGGACAAAAGAGCAACAGGAGAATAAGGCAGGGCTGAAAGACAAAAGACTGTTTGAATTTCAGACCCAGACTGAATTCTCAAAGCCAACATAATAGAAAAAGCATTTGATTGCTTATAAATTCTAAGAATAAAAAAGATTAAAGTACAGAAAACATAGTTCTTCCTTATGTTCACAGCCCTTTTCCAGCACATTTTTATAGTCATCTAAAAGACAAGGTACAATTTGTTCCTATATGCAGACTGCTGAAGTAATTGTCATGACTGAGCATTAGGAAAAGCTATGGTTTAAAATACACATTTCAATTTAAAAGTGATAGCTTTTATAGAGAGAGATGCTTGAGAAGTTTATTCGTAAAGTGAGATTTTAACCTTCTATCCAATTATTCTACGTTCTCTATTTGTCATCTTTATCATGCAAACAATGCTAGCTACACTCAAAAAAAAATCCCATTTCTTCTAAATTTTGCTTCCCACATCTCTAGATTACTCCTTTTTGACCTCCCAAAACAATATTATGAATGTGGCCTTACTAAACATATCCCATACATACAGCTACTTCAGAATACAAAGAAGTACTTTCAGATTAGTGTATGGTAGGATTTTTTAGTTCATTTTTTCTCTTTTGTAAATGTCAGAATCTCATAATGGCCTATCAACAAAAGACATCAGCAATAATCTTTCCTTCTGGCTGAAGATTCAGTGGGAAATAGTGACCACAAAGAGGCACACACAGAACACACCAGACCCAAACTTTGTGGTAGGATTTTGACTGAAACCCTGTCATAGTTCAATACTTCATGGTGCTGAAGCCACAAACTACAGATACCAAACAACATGAACTCATTAAATAGCTACAGGAATTTTTTAAGACAGTAGAAAGCTTTGAGAAACTGATGCAACAAAATCCCCTTATTTAATGTAATTTTGATCAAACTGAAGTAGCTCAGCCGAACAAGCCCTGTTGTAAAATTGAAATGGGTCCCCTTTCTCATGCACTAGTTTTGCTACCAAGGGAATGGTGCCAAAATATTATTATTATTTTTTAAAGAAATTGCAGTCCATAGATGTATTCTTAATTAAGAATACATGTTCTAATGTTTAATTAGTCTCTCTGTTAAATACTTACTTTTTCCCATAGTTAAAATGTGATTTGCTTCACGTTCCAGCAATTAGATCCTTTACCAAACAGAGGAGTCTGTTTCTAGACTTTGTACTACATTCGGTCCTGGCAGACTGACCAAGATAATCCATATCATTTTCCTGTAGGAAAACTAGAGAGAGTGTGTTTCAAAGTTCCTACACACCCTACAGGACTTTTTCTCTTTGGGCAATCACATCTTTTCCCTGAGTTGTCTGCAGCTTATCATCAGTTTCTTTGAGTTGCTGATGGCAGAAAGTGACACTTAGTCCTTAGCACAGAGAATTCCCAATTATATTTGCTATCACAGTCTCTGTTTGTATATCTCCAACAATGGTTAACATTTTAAAAGGATGTCTTTAAGTCAAACAGATGGTGTTACACTGGGTATTTGTTTTCTGCTGTTTACTTATAAAAATTCCACCATGTTCCAAGCTCACTGCTTCTCAGGCACAGTCTCCCATTCTGTCACCATCGCCTTAATATTTTTCCCCTCATGTTCAATCCTATATTGTTTGCATAAACTTTTAAATAATTAAATTTCCCTTACCTTATCAATTCAAGCTGAAAGGTCTATATCACAGGCCTCTTCATAATCCTTAGTTCTTCCAGTCCTATGTCACCTGCAAACGTCATCTGTGAGAATCTACTGTGCTCCTTTGGGTCACCACTAAACATCTTAACTAGCGTAGAGCAGAAAGGAAATGCACAGAATAACTATTCCAGTTACTATGGGCCTCAAAATGCAAAGTTGCAGAACTTCATTAGGCAGATAGCTACAAAAGAAGTACAGAGAGAGTGCTTCAAGTAATCCTTTTTAAATAGTACACAGATATAATGCCATACCCTTAGCATCTGAATGAAAAACTTCTCCTAGGAAAAACAGCTTTGGAAGAAATCCATAAACTTCTCTCTGGTGTTTGGGTGTGATAGATTTTCTCAGCATGTTCTACCTCATATGAATAAGTGGGCACAAGGCTTCACAAGATAAAGTTTAAATGTCTCCAAAAGTACAAGGAATGCTATGGTGTCAAGGCAACAGCTGAATTTGAAACACACACAAAAAAAATAAAAACATCACAGAACATGTCATGGAAATATAAGTACACAAACTTCATGAATATTTATCATTGCATGTTGGTAGAATAATAGCACTGATGTAAGAAATATAAATTGAAGGTCTGCAAGAAACACAATGAACTGAAGTTCTAATTTATTTGCCTTTGTTAATAACTTGTACTTTTCTTTCCGGGTCTTCTTTTCACAGAAGACATTTTACATGCACACTACATTAATTAGACATGTAAAAGACATTTCAAGCCTGCCAACTCAATGCTTTGGGCAGTATTCCACCAGATTTCCAGACAATTAGCAGCTGGAACATCTGGAAATCTCAGACAAATGGCCACCAACCATGCAAAAATCGACTCCATATCACACAAGCCTCTGACACATCCCAGGAGTTCAGAAGCACAGACATCACAGGAGGCTCTCAAGCCTCCTGGAGCGCATGCAGGGCACACTAGAGAAGCTGCACAGGCACAGACCATGTATGTGTGTGTGCTCATGCTCTCATAGGGATGTCAGATTTGCTGTTCTGGGGTTTGAGGAGGCTGGAAGTTATGATAACTGTTTCTTTGTGAGCTTTATGTTAGTCAGTCTGTTATCTTCCTATCCTCTAGGACCTCCAGCAGCACTCTCCACAGAAGGAGAAAGAGCTGAACTTTAGTTGTGGTGTCAAAGATCCAGTCTAAGGGACTTAAAACCAAAACCTGAATCTGTTTCTTTTATTTCTTCCATTGGCCTAAAGGTCTTGCATACACCAAGACACCAGGAAGCAAATAAATACAGTATGTATCCAGCTGCCTTAACCATTGAAAAGGTAAGTCAGAATGATGACACAAAATCCTGGTATTTTCTCAGGTGTTTTCAGCATTCTGGCTCAGGTTTTCAAATCCTGATGCTCAGAGTTGGACCCCTAAAATTCCTACGCACACTGCCATGAAGTAAGTGCTGAGCACCCAAATATTGCATGAGGATGCCTTTCCCAGTCTGCTATATAAATAATGAGTCTCCATAACAGAGTTTACAGAGCTGGCTACTGGCCCTCACACTCTAGCACTGCCTGCCCCTGTGCCTTTGTCTCCAGCTTGTTTCTGATACTGTATTATGGCACAAGAACAATGCACAAACCCTCAGCATCTTGCTGTCTCAAAATGAACGGCATTCCTACAACCGATTAATCTGCCAAAAAAAGCCAAAAGCCACATCTGACTAAAAGAACTTTCCACTTCAAGGCTTGTTCCACAATTCAGTTCAGCTGACAAATGCAAAGACAAGAATTTCTCAACTGTGCAGTTTCCAGTAAGGGATGACCTGCCCCTATTGTTAGGAGAGCTGGGAAAGGAGAAGCAACCCTCTGAAAAGGATATGACTGGGGGGGCATTACTGGGATGTAACACTATGAAAAAGCTACCACTTGCCTACAAGAAGGGAGTCAGGATCAGTTCCCCATATTCTCAAAGTCACTGAGCAGGGGCTGAGCATTACACAAAATGCTGGTGACATAGAGGAAAGGTAGAACCCCTCTGCCCTTGGAACATTTCCTTGTACCCCACCTGAAACGGTAGCCAATGAAAAAGAAAGAATGGAGAGTCTGTGGTGCTAAAGATGTGGCACATTTACACCACAGACTGAAATGCAGTTGAGCAGTGTCCAAGAGGACACAAAGGTTGCATGAGATGCTATAAATATAAAGAGAAAAACATATAGGCATATGCTGAATTCTGCCCATATTCAACCCCAAATTTTTACCACCTTGTTTATCCAATTACCATCCCATTTAGCTGAGCAGTGCTTAACTGAAATTCTTCAAGGTTAAGGCCCCAGGAACAGTTGCTTTCCAGGTCAGTTCTTTGATTGCCTTTACCTCCATCTCTCCAAACACGCTGGATGCCCCCAAACCATTTGGGATAAGCAAACTTGTGCTGAATTTTCTGTCTGTCTAGTTCATATAGTACTTAAGCAGGGGGAAAAAAAACCCAACCTTTGCTTGTTCAGCTAGCTTAATATTGAAGGTAGGCAGAGATGTCCTCCTTCCATGAATATGCTAAAATTAATCCAATTTGCATGGGAACATATAAGCAGCAAATATTTATTTATGATTGGGAGGGAACTGATCCAAATATGTAAGCTAAAGGTAGATATTGAAAAAAAAAAAAACAAATCAGCATAAACATTGATCACTGTAACTTTCCTACAATTAGCTACCAGGTATAATTAATTTGTGCTTCCAGTCATATTAAATTGCTAACAAGCATAACATGTTTGAAATAAAGAAATAATTCAAATAAAATGCAATTAGGGAGATCCAGTTATTTCAGTCTGGGCAAAGTGACCCTCACTCTAATAGCCCGATAGTTAATGAAGCTGACTTTAAAAGAATTCCTTTTTCTCCCTGTGAATATTATCTTTATTTTTCCCTAAACTTCATACCAAAGTTTCAAAATTTAATTAAATATGCTACACAGTCTGGAGGAGTAAAAAGCAAGAGATATGTCAGCAATAGAAATGGCAGACTTCTTGTAAGCAGTCTGCCAACTAAGGGAGTCATATGCTGGGTTATTGTTGAACTGAAGCAGAAGGAGATAAAAAACACACAAGCATGTATTTTTATCTACTTTCAGTTAAGCATTGTGAAAGGTTGTGTTCTTTTAGCTGAAACCTTTCCTACTCCAACTAAGGATAAGATTGGAAGGGAGAGGTAAAATTGCCAGAGTAATTTTTTTACTAGAAGACAGATCTCCAGTTTAGTGCAGAGGATCTTTACTTCTAAGAGAGATCACTGTGTTTTGAAAAAGACTCCTGGCTGTGGGCTTAAGATTGTGTTTGATCAAAAACAGCTCAGAAGGATCAGTCAAAGTCAGCATCTCACTCTCTTAATGCTTTTCTGCTCAAGGCTCCTAAGAAGAGGATTGCCATGAACAGGGAGTACAAGAACACTGCCGTGAAGCAACTCTGTGCATTTGTGCATAGATGAACCATAAGCATTTAGCAGTGACTGAAGACATGGACATGGACAGACACGTACATCATTAACTAGAACTTCTTTAGTTTGTTACTGTTCCTCTGCTGCAAATTTATAGCCTCTCCATCAGAGCAGACTGCATGAACATTCCTCACCCACATCTCAAGCAAAGCTGTTTTTTCAGTGGACAATAAAGTTGGTTTGAAGAAACCTCAGAAACTTGTCACCGAAGTAGATGAGAAATATTCATCTGACCAGATACAACCTCATTTCCAAGGATCACCACATCAGGTTTAGGCAACCTATAGATACATAATTCTTGGTGCATGAGTAGGAAACAAAGATAAAAAAAGACAGCTTAAGAAAAAAGAAGACAAAGAAAATAATCACACTAGCTTTTTTGCTCATCTGGTGCCATGTTATCAAAATATTTAAGCACCTAGTAATTTATTCATCTATCATCTTATGGAGAAAATACAGACAAGTATTCACCCTATCTCTACAGAGGAAAAAAGAGAACACAAATTTAGCATGGCTGCACTCCTGAATCAACAACTGACTAAGATAGTGGTAATTTGATTATGAGGAAAAAAGCGGGCTAGTAAAGAAAAAAAGATTAAGAAAAAAAGAAAAAGAACTCCTGGAAGAGGTACAGTTAAAGGACATGGCAACTCTTCTCTTATTACTTCCGTTCTATTTTAGCAGAGGAGAACCTTACATGTTGATGGTAAATAAGCAAGACTCATGCAACAGAGAGGGCATGCCTTCTGCAGTTCCAGAGAATAACAGCTTCAGAACCAGCCAAGGCAGAGCAGGCTGTATAAATACACATGGAAGGCAGGCAAAAGCAGACTCTACTCAAGCACCTCTGCTCCCCACTTATCCCCTGGTGCTGAAATGAGCAGTTGAGCTCCATCTTTCAAACCTGCCCAAGTGTTTTGGAATGTATGCTGAGGAAACAAACACAAAAAGAAACTCTTTCAGCCTGTACAAGCAACGGCATAAGTAACAAAGGCATGGGATATTCAGAAGATTTTCTCAAGCTGTGACAGGACTTTCTCCATTGGCTGCTGACCTGAGACTTACTCTAATACTTACATGACCTTCGCTCTTTCCATTAGTCTACATCAGCCCCATTTCCATCTGCTTCACCACTATACGTTTGCTCATCCTCTTACCAGTTCCTTTCATGCACAGAACCTCTTCCTAGCTAAATCTACCTACAAAAATACTTTTATTAAATTTTATTAATTCATTAGAGATCTAAGCAAAATTATCTGTCAAAAAGTAATTGATTAAAGAGCAGTCATTCATTTGCTCCATTAGATTGTAATGGCTTATACTCTATCCTATTGCCCACACTCAGTCTAGCTTTTCTGTTGGGGCTGCCAATACTGTGGACTGTACCTCCTAAACATGAGTTCGGCACTCAAGAACAGTTTAGGAAAAAAAACAATAATAATATTAAGAATTGCCACAGCTCCTAGCAAAGAACACCATAATGTCCTTATGTATACCATCTGTAAATTCATGATCTGCTCACACTTTATGTGCCCTGTGCACATTGCAAAAACGATAGGTTCAACAGCTCAGACA